CACTCTAGTCACTTGAAATAAATTCAAAATTGTGAGGTATTTCTCAGTAAAGGTCATTTACTTAAAAAAAAAGTGATAAAGCACAAACAAGTTATTCCTACCTGAAAGGCCAGCACACACACACAAAACAGTTTTTTAAATACCCCTCCTAACCCTCCCCCATCCGCGGAGCTATACATCCCTTCTCGCCAATAACACCTGACTCTTTGTGGTGGATGCCACGCCACAGTCCAGTCTACACTAAACAATCACCTAGCTTGCTCAGATCAGTTCTGGCCTAAGAGGCCGAGTGCGCCTAACTCCGAAGGGGAGTTTTGAAAGATATTTTTATTGCAATCATTCATTTTACTCAAAATAAATCTCTTCTGTAATACATTACAATATATTTCAATGATGGTTCTATATCTAAAAACAATTTTGATTGCAGTTTTCCTTATTCAATTCCTACTATTAACTCACACTCTCTATTTATTTATTTATTTATCTTGGTGGAGTTTTCAATCATTAATAAAATATATTTTAAAGTGTTCAATTGAGATGAAATTTTATTTACATGATTATTTTGTATGACAAAACAATATATAATTTAATTATAATTAATAAAAATTAATTGATTAAAACTAATTATTTGAAGAATTACAAATACAATCAAGTTGGCGACTTAGCGACCCTTTTGGTGACTTGTGTCAAAACATGAAAATGTTTGTTTTTTTTTTTCACGTTTTAAAGCATTAAGTTGAACTGAAGTTTTATATACACGATTGTTTTGGATGGTAATATCATACTTTAATGATAATTAATAAAAATTAGTTACCACTTAATGTTGTAATACGGTCATATGTATATACATATTTATATTAATTGTAACTATTTAATAAAAAGTAGCTAAAATAAATTTTTCGTTGTTGATCTAAGTAGGAATTGACTTAATTTTTTTTATATATATATTACTTGTTTTGTTTATTAAACTGATTCTTTTTGGTACGATATGGTACATTTGCTTTTCTTAGACCAGTGATTCTCATCTAGTGTGCCACACACGACAATTTTGTGTGCCACCATTTTTTTTAAAAATTATTAATTATAATATGGAACCTAATCATTTGTACCGTTTTATAGAAATAAACCAAGAGTGTTCATGGTATATTTTACTTATTCTTTTGTGGATAAATGAAAGTGTATTAGAGAAGTAAAATTCTTTAAAATTTATTTTATTGTTAGTATGCCGCCAAATTTTGAAATTGTTTAAAGTGTACAACAGCAAAAAAAAAAAAAAAAAAAAGGTTCAGAATCACTGCCTTAGACATTATTTATGAAGGCATTTCCGGTTTTTTGAATTGAAATTGATTAGATGGAAGGAGGAAATCAAATTATTTTGTTGGCCTCTCAGGCCAGGTGCGCCTTATAACGTTTCGTTCATAGGTGTACCCGTCGAAGAATTACAAATGTCTAAATATGAAAACATTGATTATTGCTAACATCTGAAACTAAACAATTTTTGAAAACAGATTTTTAATCTAATTTACCAATTTGTTTTTATTTTCTTCGTTAAATCTTTAAAGCTTAGCCCAAAACACTTCCTTTTAATTGGAGATTCTTAAAATAAGGTCATTATATATTTTAGAAGCCACGAATCATTATCATTTGCTTAGAAGTTTTGAATAAAGTTTGTTTTAGAGATTAAAAGCAAAAATAATTAACTTGAATAAAAAATTTAAAAAATCTGGAAACATTAAACAAAATTTGATGCTTTAACGCGTAGGAGATTGAAAGATCAATGCGAGTTGCTTTCAGTAGTAATCTAATTTCAAAGTAAAGCGCATTTCCTTTTAACCATTACATCATCCGAAACAAGAAATTTAATTTCACTCCTTTCAAACTTTTAAATTAAGTCACAAAGTAAATCACAATATTTACATGTATAAAGGTGCGAAGAGTAATTCTATATAATTTTTAACTCTGAAATATTCTAAGGATTAATGCACTTCCTGGAATGTTATTATATCAAAAAGTTTCTTTCACAGTCTGAAAGCACCAATGTTACTTTAAGAATACATAAATCTCATTAAGGTATTATTCATGAAATAAGTAACTTTTCTGTATCGGTAAAATGAAAATGGAGCCAGGAAAATAAGTCAAACATGATAAGATAGTAATGTATAAGACCATTATCTCTTGAAATACAAACGATGTTAATTTAATACCCTGTTATTTGAAAAAAATAAGGTATATTAGAGCTATATTTATTATTATTTAAATATATGAAATATAACAAAGTTACCGTGGGTACTATTTATTTAGTTACTTATGAATTTGATATTAATTATTTGTGAATATATACATTCTATTCAGATTTATTTTCATAACAAAGCACTCTGACTGAAATAAATATAATTATTCTTTTATTCATATAAAATATTATTCAAATTGATCTTACGTGATTATTTGTTGCAGTTGTAACATACTCAATTAAATACAACATTTTCTCTCTTTCTCTCTCTCTCTCTTTCTTTTTTTTTTCTGAAATTTAAGTATCCATGTTACGAAAGGAAATCTTTGAACTGAATAATGACTGAAAAGCTTTGTTTTTCTACAAATAAAATAAGCACAATAGATATGTATCAACTCTCAAATGTACTGAATTTAAGTTGTATAGAATTATCATATGAATACATTTATAAAATGTTACTTCCCATTGTTAAATCAAATTTTCCTTAACTCTGCAGTTGAAATAAATAAAAGCAGTTATACAAAATAATTTTTAAAAAAATTCCCTTTTAATTATATCGTTCTAAAAAGGCACAACTATTTCGTTCTAAAAGGCACTGAATGGCCGTATTTTTATCTTTATTTTGTCTTGAAAATTATCTTTAAATTTTAATCTCAAAATGAAATGTCCCAACATGTAGAACAGATGAGAAGC